GTTTGGGAATTAGAGTGATACTAGCTTCATAGAAGAAATTTGGGAGTTCTCCCTCTTTTTCTATCTTTTTGAATAATTTAAGTAGCACTGGCTGGAGATCTTCTTTAAATGTCTGGTAGAATTCTGCTGTAAATCAATCTGGGCCTGGGATTTTTTTAGTTAGGAGGTTTTGTAGTACTGTTTTGATTTCCTTATATGTTATGGGTCTGTTTAAACTGTTGATCTCTTCTTGGTTTAACTTTGGTAGTTCCCATGAATTTAGATATCCATCCATTTCTTTCAGGTTTTCAAATTTCATAGAGTATAGGTTTTTAAAGTATTCCCTTATAATGTTCTGGATCTTTTGGGTGTCCGTTGTGATGTTTCCCCTTTCATGTCTGATTTTGTTGATTTGGGTTTGCTCTTTCTTTCTTTTGGTTAAGGGCTAAGGATCTATCTTGTTTAGCTTTTCAAAGAACCAGCTCTTAGGTTCATTGATTCTTTGTATATTTTCTTTGTTTCTATTTAATTAATTTCTGCTCTGATTTTTGTTATTTCTTCTCTTTTGCTGGGCTTGGGTTTCATTTGTTCTTGCCTTTCCAGAGTCTTGAGTTGCAACATTAAGTAATTTATTTGTGCTCTTTCTGATTTTTTAAAGTAGACACTTAGAGCTATAAACGTCCCTCTTAGGACTGCTTTTAAAGTGTCCCAGAGGTTTTGTTGTGTTGTATTGTCCTTTCCTTGAATTCCAGGAATTCTTTTATTTCTTTCTTAATTTCTCCCTTGACCCACTCATCATTTAGGAGTGTGTTGTTTAATCGCCATGAATTTGTGTAGTGACTAGGGCTTCTTCCAGTGTTGATTTTGAGCTTTATTGCAATGTGGTCTGATAGAATGCATGGAATTATTTCAATTTCTTTGTATTTGTTGAGGTTTGTTTTGTGCACCATATATGGTCAATTTTTTAGAAAGCTCCATGGGGTACTAAGTAGAAAAGTGTATTCTTTGGTGCTTGAGCAAAATATTCTGAAGATGTATGTTAGGTCCATTTGATGTATGGTTATCATTTAAATCAGAAGTCTGTTTTTTGTCCAGTTGGCCATCTAATGGAGACAGTGGGGCATTGAAGTCCCCTAGTATTACTGAGTTGGGGTTAATTTGTTTCTTAAAGTCCTATAATGTTGTTTTTACGAATTTGGGTATAACAGAGATGGTGCATATATATTCATAATTGTAATATCATCTTGGTTAATTGTTCCTTTGATCAGAATGAAGTGACATTCTTTATCTCTTCTGATTAGTTTTAGTTTGAAGTCTACTTTGTCAGATATTAGAATTGCAACCCCTGCTTGTTTTTTAGTGCCATTTGCTTGAAATATTCTTTTCCATCACCATACTTTCACCTTAAAGTGTCCTTGAAGGTGAGAGGGTTTTTTGCAGACAACAAAAACATGGATTTTGTTTCTTAATCCATTCAACTAGCCCGTGTCTTTTGACTGGGGAGTTCAGTCCATTGAGATTTAAAGTTATTGTTGAAAGATGTGTATTGGTTGCCATCATTTTGATTATTGTTTGCATTCTTTGTCTAATTTTGTGTTTCCATAATTATACCTTCATTTAGTTTCTTTCTGTTGCCCCTGGGGTATAGTTGTTTCTTTCTCCGTTCTTTGTATTGCTTCAAGTATTCTTTGAAGGGCGGGTTTTGTGGACATGTATTCTTCCAGCCTCTTTGTGTCATGGAAGATTTTTCTTTCCCTTTCAACTATAATAGATATTTTTGCTGGGCAAAGTACTCTGGGTTGGCATCTATGGTCATTTAAAACTGGAAATACCTTCGTCCAGGCTCTTCTGGCTTTCGGTTTACACTGACAAGTCAGCTGTAATTCTGATGGATTTTCCTTTATATGTGACTTGTTTTTCTTTTGCAGCTTTCAGTATTCTCTCTTTGTTCTGTACATTTAGTGTTTTTACTATGATGTGCCGTGGAGAGTTTCTTTTCTGGTCCTGTCTATTTGATGTTCTATGTATGTCTTGTATTTGTAGGGGGATGTCTTTCCTTAATTTTGGGAAATTCTCTTCTACAATCTTGTTTAAGATCTGGTCAATACTGTTAAACTGAAATTCTTCTTCCTCTATGCCTATGATATGCAGATTTAGTCTTTTTATGGTGTCCCATATCTCCTCCATTTCTGTGTTTTTAAAATTTTTTCATAATTTTTGTTTGAGTGGTCCAATTCTTTAACTTTATTGTCCAGTGTCGATACTCTGTTTTCCATTTTATTCATTTTAGCGGTAAGGTTTGTTCCTGTTGTTTCAAACTGGCTTATTGAGTTTTTCACTTCCTTCTTCATTTCAGCCTTATATATCTTCAATGTTTCTGTTTTTTTAGTTCAGTCAGAAGTTTATCCCTATCTTCTTTGAGTTCTTTGATTTGTTTGTGTATTCTTTAAAATCATAGAATTCTTTGATCATGTTTATTATTGTTCTTTTAAATTCTGTGTCCTGGGTTATCTCTAGGGGCTTCTCCTTGTAGAACTCTTCTACAAGACTGGTCAAGTTTGGTGGGAACATGCTGTTTTGGTTTTCCATATTATTTTTTGTTGTGATTTTGGCCTGGAGATTTCTTTGTTTGTAATTCTGGTATGAAACTCAAGCCTTCTTTTATTAAATTGAAGTTTGCTTCTGTTTGTATTATTGGTGTGTCTTGGTTGTTTTCTTACTGGGTACATAAAGTTGGTTGGTCTACGTTTCCAGTTCTCTCAGATTTTATTTAGGAGGGAACTGACAGCTTCAGATCAGCTACTCAGGAGCTCCCACAGAGGCCCTAGTCAGGCTCCAATGAGGTATACTCAGGCTTCCTTCTAACGTTTAGACCCCTACTGGAGGGTACTCACAGCACAATTTGGGAAGTTTGGTAAGGGAAGGCCTGATTTTGGCACTCTCAGGGGGTCTGCTAAATTCTCAGCCCCTATTCTAGGCAGAGGCCAGATCAGGTACTCTCTGATAATGTCTCAGCCCTACCCCACTGTAAGGCAGAGAGTTCTATCCCTGGGGATGTGGGAAGGGCCTCACATAATCCCAGTTAGGGGTTTGGCTAGGTCATGATTTGGGGAAGCTTTGGGGAAGCTCACCACCACATGGAGGCTGGATCCAGGTGCTCTTAGGCTGTCTGTTGAGTTCTCAGCTTCTATACCAGGTGGAGGCCACCAGGCACTCTCAGGCCATCTCTATTTTTTATAACTTTTAGTAAATTATTTTCCTAGGCCAGCAAGATAGCTTAGTAGTTGGAGGCACTTGCTGCCAAGCCTGATGACCTGAGTTTGAGCTCTGGGACACATACGGTAAGAGAGAGCCAATTCCCTTAAGTTGTTCTCTGACTTCTGCACAAGAACTATGGCATGCACTGCCCCCCTCCAAATAAATAAATGTAATAAAAACAAGTGGGGCGTGGTGACCCATGCCTTTAATCCCAGCACTCGGGAGGCAGAGGCAGGCGGATCTCTGTGAGTTCAAGGCCAGCCTCATCTACATAGTGAGTTCTAGGACAGCTGGGGCTACAGGGAGACCCTGTCTCAAAAAGATTAAAAAAAATTGCTTTCCTTAGATGCTGTTTTGCTTACATGTGGAGAGCAGTAGAAGTACCTGGGAATTTATGGTCCCCAGGATGGTCCTCATCCTACGACTAACATGTGTGGGTATATGAAGACTAGCTTCCTTACTGCTGGTGGGTATAGTTCTGAAGCATAAGTTTCTCTTCACAGAGTTCCTTTGTATGATGAAACAGAAGCTAACTCTTTGCAGGACTTTGAGAGTGCAGCCTTGGGAGCTTCCTCACTGTCCTGCTTCGCCCTTCCCTTGCTAGTTTCCTTTGGGAGCATGTCCTTGATAATCACTAGAACATGCATCTGCGACTCAGGATCTGCTGCTGGGGAATCTGACTTATGACACATAAGGAGAGGAATTATCATGATTTACCTTTTGTAATTTATGTTGAGATTGGCAGTCATGGCGATTCCTTCAGAAATATTTACACAAGCACCAGTAGTGATGTCAATGATGGTTGCAATGGCACCTCCATGAACAAATCTAGTTATGACAGCAATGGGAGAAATGTTTTCATAAGTTCAGGAAATAGCCTCTCAAGACAGAAATTATTCACGTCTTCACACTACGACTTATGGAAGGTTTACTTAACTTATGTTTAGTGTACTGAATGTCAAACAATATCCATATCCTCAACTTTGTCCATAGCATAACAAAATAGTCTTAAGCACTTGCAATATAACTGGAACTTAATCATAATCAGATTGCAGCATGAAAAAAGCTAAAATATAACTTAGACATATTATGTTTTAAGCAAATTAGTATAGGAAATAGGGGCTGGACAGATGGCTCAGTGGTTAAGAGCACATGTTGCTCTTGCAGAGGACCAGGATTTGGTTCCCAGCACCTACATCAGGCAGCTCATACCTGCCTATGATTCCAGTTACAGAGGATCTGATGCCCTCTTCTGGCCTCCACTTGCACAAATACAGTGCACATATAGACGAGTACACATATATACACATAAGAATTAATTAGAAAAATTTAAAAATGTTTAGGAAATGCAGATAAATAAAAGGAAAAAGGCTTAAGCCTTTAACACTGCCATCAAGTCAGTACCAAGCCATTCCAAACCTGTTAATCATAGTCTCTGTTCCCCAGGTCCTATAATGATATAGTACATGTACCATTTACTATTACATTGAAAACTCAAAAATATTTTGAATACAGAAAATTTTCAACATCAATATATATTTATCTACATTACTACTTTAATGCTCTCTTGTAGTCTCTGATACATGAGTATGCTGGGAGATAAATGTCTTTCAGATCCATGCTGCTAGGTTATCATTCTTACCCAGGTAGTCCTTGCAGGTGAGGACCTCCTTGAAAAAAGCAAACTACCCTTTTCTCAGCACCATTAAAAAACATCACATATTCAAAGCCCAGGCCAACCTCAAAGCTTCTGGTGAATTTCTGGGCTTTTGACATTTTTTCTTCTTTCATAAACTTGGGGTCTGTAGAGAAATGAAGTGAATGGGTACAGAAGTGTGAGAAACAGGCTTGAAAAAAATGCATGATAGAGCTAAGTGTCTAGACCCTGACAAAAATCATATGTTGGTGGATAACCAATTAAAATGCTAACTGGGTACAAAATAGAAAGGAATGGAAAGGTCATAAGAAACAGAACAGGGGCTGGGAATCTAGCTCAGCTGTAGAGTTCTTGTCTAGCATGCACAAAGCCCTGGATTCAATCCCCAGCATCAAATAAAACTGGATGTGGTGATATGTGACTGTAATCCTAGCACTTTGGAGGTAGAAGCAGAAAGATCAGAAGTTCAAGGCCATCTTTAGCTACATAGCAAGGTTGAGGCCATTCTAGGTCATCCCCAAAAGGCACAGAACATAAGATCTCTGCTCATATGGAATTACCAGTCTAATGAGGACAGAGTAAACACACATGTAAACATACACGGACAGAATAAATGAAACAAGTACTTACCTGCACATTGTAATTAGGAAATACAGTATATAAATTCTAATAGTAAACAAAAAAAAGTTAAGGTACAGACAGAAATTATTAGACTAAATGATATTTAAAGAGAATGAATAATCTAACAGTAAGGAAACACTTTTTTCCTGTCAGATGTGAATTTAACTCGTTATACTAAATCAGAAACAGAGGTAGTTCAGTCCACTAAATCCCCACATTTGGGATAGAACCATTAACGCTCCTGAAATTAAATTAGTAAGTTATAAACAAACTTTTAAAAGAAACAGAATATTTCACATATATATTAGGTAAGTGTTAGTGCACCTGTTTACAATTCTTTTACTCATACAGTTGTGAAAGTTAGGCATTCTAGGTTGAGTGAAAATGTAGGTCACTTCAGGACCATGTCTTTAATACCAGCACTCAAGAGGCAGAGGCAGGGGACTTCTGTGAGGTCGAGGCCAACTTGGTCTACATAGTGAGTTCCAGGCTAGCTGGGGCTACAGGGAGACCCTGCCTCAAAAAAAAAAAAAAAAAAAAAAAAAAAAAAAAGTAGGTCACTTCAAAATAAAGATAGAAAGCTACTGCTTTAAAGGAAGGGCACCCTTTCCTACATACTTTTGTATCATTTAAAAAATTTACCCTCTATATTCTGAGCTTTCTTTCACAGGTTGTCATGACTTGCTAGTCAAAAAACTGCCTTACATTTTTCTTTTTAAAATGTATTATCGTGTGTGTGTGTGTGTGTGTGTCGTGGATGGCGCATGTGGGTGTACATGCCACAGCATGAGTGTGGAGGTCTGAGGACAACTTTGTGGAGTTTGTTCTCTCCTTTCACCTTTCCACAGTTCTGGGGCTTGAACTCAGGTCTTGTGCAGTAAGTGCCTTTTCCTGCTTGTGCCATCTTGCCAGCCCAAGTTTCTTTAATTGAAGTTACATTTAAAAACTTGAAAAAGGCTATGAAATAATCTGGAAAGTGGAAGCACTGGGAAGAGCCTTTTACTTAGGCCAGGAGTGCCTTTTAGACTTTGTATTCCCAATGACTGGCACAAAATGCACATACTCTCTGTGCTCAAGCAGTTGCTAAGTAATGAATCAGAGGGCCAGCCAAAGAAAGTCGAAATTAGGCAGAGTGTTGTGGTACAATGGAAGAACCCTGGTCTAGGAGTTGTGAAAATTAAATTCTTGGTTTAGCTCTGGTCTAAATCTAACTCGTTTGTGTCACAGTTTGAAGAGACAAACCTCTAAGATCTCTTCCAACTCTGACATGACTACAATGGGCATCTCCAGAACAAGATACACACAAAACCCTTTAACTCTAAGAGTTCAACATTTCTATTTGAAATGATCAAATCTTGAGGTATTTCATAAAAATGAGAAAAATAGGTAGAACAAATTTGTTAAAGAATCTGACCCTTAGGCTTTACCCTTGTCTAACTGAGGCAGAACCTGATCTTTGACAAGATTCCTAGGTGTGATGGCTAATTTTGGTTATCAACTTCACATATCTGCAAAGAGGGAATCTAGACTGAGGAACGTTCTCCATCAGACTGACCTGTAGGTATGTCTGCGGGACATTTTCTTGATTGTCAATACATGTAGGAAGGTCCAGCCCACTGTGGGCAGTGTCATCCCTAGGGAGATGGGCCTGGGCTATACCAGATGACTGTCTGAGTAAACCAGGGAGCAAGCCAGCAAGCAGCTTTCCTTCATGGTCTCTGCTTCAGTTCCTGTGTCCAGGTTCCTGCCTTGAGTTCCCTTGGCTTCCCTCAAGGATGAACTATAAGCTGAAATAAACCATTTCCTTCTCAAGTTGGTTTTGGTCAGTGTTTTATCATAGAAACAGAAAGCAAACTAGGACACTAGGTGTTCCACAATCAGGTTAAAAACTAAGTCAGAGTATCTGAAGACAGAAGAGAAACAACATGGAGATTCGCAGGCTGAATCACTCTGATAGCTGAAAGAAGGAGGGCTTTGAGGAGGATAAGAACGGAGATGAGAGGTGAGAGGGCCAACTTTACACTAAAAAATGAACAATGACCACCAAATGTGGCCTCAGATCAGTACTGGCTTCTGTGTAGTAGACATTTCAATAGAGCTGATCAAATAGAAACCAAAACTGTACTAGGGTAAGGACCTTCAATTAATTGTGTGATGTCACAAAAGTTAATTACATTAAAATTATGCTAAACATTTTAACTAAAAATATTTTTGTGGTGCTAGGGATTAGACCCAGGGCTCTGTGCATGTTACACAAGTGCTCTAAAAAAATTAATCTTGGGGCTGGAGAGATGGTTCAGTGGTTAACAGCATCATTTGCTTTTGTAGAGGCTCTGGGTTCAAATCCCAGAAACCACATGGCAGCTAACAACTGTAACTCCAGTTCCAGGGGTCCAATGCCCTCTTTTGACCTCTGTGGGCACTGCATAACATGGGTGCACTTACATGCATGCAGACAACACACTCATATACATAATGAAATAAAATAAATATATATAAATAATAAATAATAAATCTTGTGGGGTGATGTGGGGAGTGGGTATCAGTTAGAACAGGGTCTCACTATGTAGCCCAGGATGGCCTCAAACTCTGAAGAATTGTCTAAGTCTCCTGAGTATTGGAATTATAGGTATTCTCTATTAAAATTTATTTTAAAGTAACTTAATAGCTAAAATTTAATATTTACTGGGTGTGGTGGTACATGCCTTTAATCCCAGCACTTGGGAGGCAGAGGCAGGAGGATCTCTGTAAGTTCAAGGCCAGCCTGGTCTACAAAGTGAGTTCTAGGCCAGCTGGGAAATTAAGTTAATATTTTCCTTTATTAATAAGAGAATAATTCTTATCTTTAAACTGAAGAGTATATAAATATAAACATGAAAAATACCAACTTTTCTTCACTACAGTGCTTCTAATTTTGCTTCAATCATTCCTTCAACAAATATTCAAGTATCAACCATGAGGACACAGAGACATGGGAATGTATTTTGTTTAAAGTTATACAGCTTTCTACACTATGTAGAACCAGAATTTCAACTGAAATGTGCAAAACTAAATTCTACATTACAGTGAGAATCTGCTAGCTTTTGGATGACCTCTAAGGCCATGGGATTGAACTGGATTATCAAAGGTAAGTAGGGCAGAGTACTATGCATGAGATATGGGAACATTGCTGATAGTTTGATTCGGTGGGGCCTCCTCAGAGATCAGCAGAGCAATGCAGTGTGTCTGTCTGCTGAAGAGAAAGATCTGGCAGGGAGAAATGTCTTCAGTAGGTCAAGGGAAACGAATGCAGAGCACAAATCACCTTCTGTATTAGGGTTCTCCAAAGGCCATCACACCTTCCTTAGAAGATGGACAGCTCATTCACAAATAACAGAGACCCAACATCAGCTTGAGGTACAGGGAGGAGACTTGAGCTAGTGAGAGCTTACAAATGTTCTTCTGCTTTTTTTTTTTTTTTTTTTTTTTTTTTTTGAGACAGGGTCTCCCTGTAGTCTCAGCTGGCTTGGAACTCATTATGTAAACCAGGTTGGCCTTGAACTCACAGAGATCTGTCTGCCTCTGCTTCCTGAGTGCTGGGATTAAAGAAGCCTATCACCATGCCCGGCTTCTTCTGCTGGTTTTTACTTTCAGTAAGTGAAAAAGAAAGCAAGACCTGTTGAAAATAAGGATGAAGAAAAAAACTCACAGGCGTGAGAAGAAAGAAAAATTCAGGAAGGAGGAATCTAGGAGAGCAGGAGAGTCAGTAGACCAGGGAAATAGGAAATAAGACTGCCAGGAAACATGGAAACATTAAGAGCTAATTTGAGGTCATCTGGAAACAAAACAGAAGCAACCATCACAGTCCCCAAACTACCATTTAAAGATATGTTTAGGTGATTAAGAGATGATGAGTGACTTGGAATTGCCTATAAATACTCCTGGAGCAGAAACCCTGCTGGGAACTCAGGCCTGCTTCAGGAACAGAATGATTGGCACAGCACAAATGCTCATCAACTGTTTGTTGAGGGAATAAATATTGTATACTGAAAACGAGAAAACAAAATGGTCTTGGAAGACAATCTGAAAACGAAGACTGCCTTAGGAATATACTTACATACGAAGTTCTTCAGTTAGGTTCAACATGTCTGCCACATGAGTACAGAAGAGGGAAGAGAAACAGTCCCCAGGAAAGACACAGGATGCTAGTGACTATGAGCGAACAGTTGACATGGCTCTTTGTTCTGGGAAACACACAGAAGGATTCTGACAGACTGCAGCATGTCCGGAGAAAAGCAAACAGGACTATGACAAGGCTGAAACACCTTTGGGGAAAAGTGCCAGAGATAGCAGAGAAAACTGGATTGGCAAAGAGAGCTGACAGGTATGAGGGAGTGAGGGTCAAGCATCCAATTCCTATTCATGAAAGGATGCCTGGTGAAAGAATCATACTCATTTTGTCTGTTCCTGGATGGCAGAACTCAAACAAATGGGCAAAAATGGAAGAAAATGAAAATAAGATAAAAAACCAAAATGGAAGAAGCCCCTTTTTTTCTAACTGGGGTCGGGGTGGGGGGACCAAGTCAAAACCAGATGACTGGTTGTAAGCTCATTCCAGAAAGCAAGAAAAGACAGAAAAAGGTAAAATGGACTGGAAAGATGGCTCAGTGGCTAAGAATGTGTACTGTGCTTACAGAGGACTGGAGTTCAGTTCCCAACACCCATGTCAGGCAGTTCAGTTGTAACTCCAGCTCTAGGGGGATCTGATACCTCTGGCCTCTTTTGGGTACCTGCACTCTTGGGCACCTGCACTCACATGCACAAACGTGCACATGCACACACACACACACACACTTAAAAAATAAAAGAGTGGAGATGAGTGAATCTCAGGGAGCTAGGAAACCTAGAGGGAAAAGTGATGCCCTAGGAATCCTATGAGAAATGCACATAGAGTGTCTGAACATTAATGCATACATATACCTAGGAGCTGCTTGGTAGGGAATGCAGTGCCTGATGGATGAGACCTCCTTTAGAGTGACAAGCATACCATACAGCACTCATCAAAGAAGTTTCTTTTTGCAACAGATGGAGGCTACTGCAGAGTTGCACATCTGGTCAGGCGCAGAACACATGCCTGGGAGATGCCCAGTACTAGGTGACACATCTACAGTCCAATCTCTACAGACAAGGCTCATGGAACATAGCAGAATAAGGGGTAGAGAGAGGGCTAATGCACCCCTCAACTCTCACCAGTGAGGCCTCCATGTATATCAGTGTGATACACACAGAAGTCTAGTGTTGGGGACCCCTGTTGTGAAGTAGTAGTCTCTCCACGTCCGGACAGCCCATGGGCTCGGTTTCATATGCAGAAGACTCCTTTTCATCAGGGTACCTTCCTGACATCTTCCTGACTCGTCTTTTGAAGTAGCCGCCACAGAAACATGGCCTCCGGCTCTGGAAATTGCCAGCCTTTCCTGTGTGATTTTTCTGGCAGTCTGGCAGCCTGGCAGGAGCCCACTTCCATATGTAGATGGGGCATCCTAAAAGTACCTATCACAAAGTGCCTATCAGCTAAAGCTTTTACCACTACCCCCACGGTATAAAATGTCCTGGTTTTCTCTCAATATTGGAGCTGGATCACTAGGAGCTAGGAGCTGAAACACTGAGACTTGGAGCCGAGCTGAGTCACTGAATAAAGAGCTGTAACACGGATTGAGCTGAGTCCTGTGTCTCACTGCCTATGATCCAGTCTCTCCGGGGGGCGATATCCTTCCGTCATCGACTCATGGAAACCTAGCTTTAGCTGCCTCGTACCTCTCCTCGTGACCCGGCAGCTGACGGGTCCCGAACTTAGAGAGAGAGTACATGGGTGAAATTAGGGCAGAACTCGGCCGGGCAAGCCCCACCAGCAGAAGCCTCAGAGACGCGGGGAAGCGGCGGACAAGCAGAGACCCGCCAGAGAGCCAGCAACGCGGAGCAGACGCTGCGGGACCCACAGCATCTCCAGGTGTGCACAGGGGACTTGCGCCACGCTAGCGCGAGACCTTCAGCACCTTAGCGGCGGACAGCGACGCGGTGCGCGGCCAGACCCTCCGCCTTTCCAGGTGTGCGCAGGGGGCGGGAGCCACGAGATCCCTGTGCGCCCCATAGTCTAGCACAGCACCTGCCTCAAAGTAGACATTCATTAAATATTTGCATAAGGAAGAAGGGTGGTGACTCAAGGGGAAAAAGTTCTGAGGACTGTGAACTCTTAAATGATTCTGAATGACCCTTGGAAGCCCAGACTAAATAAGTTTCCAGATTCCAACTCTCAGATTCTGTTTATTTATGCTGATTTGCTTTATCCAATTAATCTATTTGTTTCAGTAACTTTACTTACAGAAATAAATAATTTACAGTCTTAGATTTTGTTAAAAATATTAGGAAAACAACTGACCATTTCTCAGGGGAGGAGAGACCAATTTCTAAGTGTCTGGCAGAAAGGTGAACATTATACATTCTCAAAAGGGCAGTTGTTGTCTTTTTGTTTTAAGTGCAACAGCCCAATGTAATTCTAATTAAGCATATGAAACCTTCTAAAGTTAAAATGATAGACATAGGTTAAAGTATTATTTCCATTTAAAGGGAGTGAAAGACTGGTTCAATTAGATTGGCTAGTATAGGGTAGAAATAACATAAACTTAAAAAACTTTCCATTTCTAGTGAGTAGTTAACATCACAGAAAACAGTTTGTTCCCAAATTCCAGGCAAATGCATCTGAGCCATGTGCAAGACTGCTAGAAATACAGACTCCTGGGCTCTACAACACCAGTCCAAATGTTTCAGATGGTCAGTTTAACTCTTAACAAATAGCTGTTTAAATCTTCAGTTACTACAATATTGAAAAGCCAATGTTGATTTGAAAACAGGAATTTTCCAAGTTTTCAGAAATGTATTTTAAAAATTACAACAATTATCTAGTAGCTTTTACTCCCACCTGAGCCTAAGAAGATGTGAGGAAAACGATGGGCAGAAGGAAAGGGGTTTGCCACTTGAATTTCTGTACAAAGGATCTGAAACTGCACTTTAAGGATGAAATAGGAGAGAGAGACAAACAACTAGATCATCTAGACCATGTCCCCTGGTATATTTCCTCTCTCCCCTCCTTTCTACAAATATTTACAAGCACTCCCTATGTACCAGAAACTGTTCTAAGCACTTAAGATACAGTAGAGAATAAAACATACAAATTTTCTCTGCCCATGGAGTCACACTCTAGGGGTGAGAGAAAAGCCATTCAGCAATTAAAACACTCAGTATGTCTGCTGGTGACAAGTGCTATAGAAAGGAGATATGCACTCCACATGCATATTAAGTGGAAAAGGCCAAGCTGAAAACTCCACCCTCAATGATTCCAGTTACATGGTATTTTGGAAAAGGCAAAACCTGGTGACACAAAATGATGGGATTGCCGGGGTGGGGGAGGGAGAGAAGGAGTGAAGAATGAACAGGTGATGAATGGGATTTTTAAGGCAATGAAATGATTTGGAATGATACTATAATGACAGCCGTATCATTATATATTTGTCAAAGCCTCTAGTGAATACAATACTGAGAGCAAACCCTAACATAATCTATGGACTTGGGCTAATTATTATGTATTAAGTCACTCATCTATTGTAATCAATGTGCCACACTAATGCAAAATGCTAATAATAGAGAAAAATGGAGGTAGGGAAGGAGTAAAGGGTACTCTGGACTTTCTGCTTTTTTTTCTTTTCTTTTTTTATAAAGTATTTATATTTTTATTTTATATGGATGAGTGTTGTACCTGCATGAATGTAACTGCACCCATGAGTGCAATGCCCACTGAGGCAGAAGAAGGTGTTGGATCCCCTGGTCTAGAGCTAGGGATGGTTGTTAGCTACCAGTTGGGTCCTGGGAACTGAACCCAAGTTCTTGCAAGAGCAGCAAGTGCTCTTACTTAAGGCTGAGCCATCTCTCCAGCCTTCTTTTTTTGAGACAGGATCTCCTATATTCCAAGGCTGGTCTTTAACTTACTGTGTAGCTGTGGACAGCCCTGAACTCCTGATTCCCTTGCCTCTACCTTCTGAGGGCTTGATTATTAGTATGTGCCACCATGCCCAGTTTATGTGCTCTTGGGGCTTGATCCCAGGACTTCATTCATGTATGCTTGGCAAGCACTCTATGAACTGAGCTACGTTCCCAGCCTTTTGTTTTGTGTTTTTTTAAAAAAAATTTATTTTGTTATTCTTTTAAGACAAGGTCTTCCTGTAACCCCAGCTGGTTTAGAACTCACTATGTAGACCAGGCTGACCTCAAACTCAGAGATCTGCCTGCCTCTGTCTCCTAAGAGCTGGGATTAAAGGCATGCTCAGCTAGGGGCAATGTTATTTAAAAAAAAATTTTATTATTATTTTTTAATTTTATGTGTATGAGTGAATTGCCTGCATGTAAGTGAGTGCACCCATGTCATGCAATGCCACCGAGGTCAGAAGAGGGCTTCAGATTCCCCTGGAACTGGAGTTAAAGATGGTTCGTAGCCGCCACGTGGGTGCTGGGAATCGAACCTGGGTCCTCTGCAAGAACAGTCAGTGCTCTTAACCGCTGAGCCTTCTCTCCAGCCCTGTCAATGTTATTTTTAATAATATGTTTTATGTTTTTCCACAATCCACAAAATGTATTGAGATTTCTGGCCTATAAAACTGGGGACTTTAGAAACCACTGTACTACAATATTGTTTCTTCTTGCTCTTTCTCCTCTTCCTAGTCTCCTACCTCCTTCCCTACTCTCTTCTTTCCTCTTCCTTCCTTCCCCCTGTGCATCCTGTCCCCTCCTCTTTTCTTTCCCTCCCACTCTGAAAAGAGTTTTGCTATGTAGCAGTGAACTTGCTAGGTTGCCCAGGCTGGTCATGAACTCATCAACCCTTGCCTCAGCCTACTGAGGGACTGTATGTGTGAACGAACTGGCATGTCTGGCTCTTCCTTCTCTTTTCAAGTAATAACTAGTGCTTCCCTCCATTTTTAACTTTCTTCTCTTTCAGTATTTGAGACAAGGTCTCTTGTAGCCTTAGCTGGCTGGAAACTCCCTATGTAGATCAGACTGGCCTTGAACTCACAGAAATCTGTCTGCCTCTGCCTCCAGAGTGCTGGGAAAAGGTGTGCTCCACCACACCCAGAACTGTTCTTTATATGGGATGTTCAAATGTTATTTATAGGAAAGTGGCTGCTTTTACCAAGAAAACGGTTTTGGAAGTCTTGAAGGAGTGGAGAAGTGTTTTGCCTATGTGAAGGTATACGTTTCCAGGAGCCATCTTCACATTTCTTCATGAACTGGTCAAAGCGGAGTCTTAGGTCCTTGCTCCAGCTGGGGTTGGGGAGAGCATAGTCCTTATGAACCACTTTCTCAGAAGAAAATAATCTCTAAAAGAAACAACAAGAAGAATAGGAGGTACAGTCAATTTTGTAACATTTCCTGCGACTTCTAGGACATCATGCTGCTCTTCTAGCCAGAAGATTACCATTTCAAAATGAAAGGGAACTTCAGAGACCACTTGGTACAACCTCCTTGAGAAATGGGAGAATTACAAAGGTTTCCCCAACTTCTGCTAGCTAGCTACTGGCAGAAGTAGCATCAAGCCCAGGCAAGCCAGACACTAGGGATAGACAGATGACATATTATCAAAAGTACCCAGTATAGTACATACAGGAAGCTGGAACACAAGGAATGGTATTAGTTCAGACAGGGTTCTTTGACTTGAATATTGATTAGTGAAGTAAACACTCCATCTCCACAGGTAGTGTGTGTAAAAGTACACTATGCAAAAGCAAGGAGGCATGGAGCAATTTTGAAGGGCTTTATTACAGCTCTATGCAGTAGGTACTAATTATTATCCCCATTTTACAGACGATGAAATGAAGACCTAAAAGAAGCAATATCACAGTGAAAGAGGAGATTGCTATGAGGTGGAGGCAAAGCTTCAAAATTTTGCAGCACTTTAAGGATTTAAGCAAGGAGTGACAGGATCAGATTTGGCCATAACATAAAAAGTAGTGGTAATCCCCAAGAATGGAATCAGAGGGTCTATTTGGAGGCTGTTGGGGTAACTCAGAGAGAACTTGGTGACCACTTTTAATAAAGGAAATGAAGGGAAAGGAGAAATATGATAGCAAACCCCTGTTCTGTGAATGGCACAGTGGATAAGTGACTGTTAATGACAAGAAACAATACAAGAGGAAGGAGACTGGGGGAAGAGGGCTGGTGTCATGGTAACTATGACTTTCACTCATGATATGTTTCTGCAGCACTGACTCTTGCTACCATTCCAGTGCCCACAAAACAAATGGAATGTTGGAGGACTTGAAAGACAATGACCTATGAAGGAGCATAATTGAACAATGTTCTGATACCAGACAGGAAAGCTGGTTCTTTGTTTTTTAGGACAGCCTCTGCCTATAGCTCCAGTTGGCCAGGAACTCACTATGTAGACCAGGCTGGACTCGATCTCACAGAGATCTACCTGCCTCTGCTTCCTAAGTGCTGGGATTAAAGGTGTACGTCACCATGCCTGGTCTCCAAAACTGGTTCTTTTGTCCATTGTAGAAATCTAGGAACAGTTAAGCTTATAGAAGGTACCAACAATCTGGCATTGTATCTCTAGTCACTGTTATCAATTCATTCTGATTTAATTTATCACTTGAACCATAGCCCTGACACCAAAACGCAAGGCTGCATTTACTAGAATGGAAGACCCAACTTTCTGCTGATGCCTGGGCTGACTCCAGTCCTTCTGGGTAGGAAGAACAGAGGGATCCTACCTCAAGTATTCTATTAAATTAAAAAATCCGGATCAGGCGCCAAGCCTGACAATCTGAATTAGATTCCTAGAACCCATGTGGTGGAAGGAGAGGACATCTTACAAAATTGTTCTATCACTTCCACACAAACCTCCTACAAATAAATAAATGTAAACAAACAAACAAACAACAACCAAACCTTCCTAGTAGATAAAAGCGAAATCTAGACTTTTTGGTACTGGACAAGAGGGGAAACAATCAGAAATAGGACCATTTTGCCATTAGCTCAGGATAAATAATTTTCTCTGACTTGGCTTATCTGATTGGCTTATCCCTTCAAAACCCAGCTCAGATAATCTGGGAAAGACAAAAGAATTCTACCCATTATTTTTCCCTTTAGTACCCCTGTGATAAAATTTTGACGTATTTCTCCCAAATTCTTTTCATTCACTGTATTGCATCCCAGTAGACTGCTAAGGTAGTTAATTTTATTTTATTTTTTCCGTAGCAACAAGAAATCTCTTGCATAGTTACAAAGTGTTAAATTTCATTCAGCAGTATTTTTTTCTTTTTTATATTGCATATTCCTATAGAGGTAGCCATCTGGTTTTGTTTTTATTTTTTCATTAAAAATTACTTTTTTTTTTTTTGAGATAGGGTCTTGCTATGTAGCCTAGGCTGGCCTTGAATTTGTGAACTTCTTGCCTCTAGCCTCCCAAGTGCTGAGATTATAGGCATGCATAATCATGGCCAGCTCAAAGTTTATTTATTTTTTTAGGGGCTGAGAGATGGCTCAGCAGTTAAGAGCACTGGCTGCTCTTGCAGAGGACCCAGATCTGGTTCCTTGCACCCACATGGCAGCTAACAATGGTTCATAACTCCAGTTCCAGGGAATCTGAGGCCCTCTCTGGCCTCCTTGGGCACTGTACACATTGGCGTACTTACAAATATGCAGGTGAAACACCCACACATAACATTAAAAAAAATCTTAAAATTATTTTTAATTGAACATATTTATGGGGTACACTGTGGCAATTTGATTCATGCTCACATCAGGATAATTAGTTGTGTGTGTGTGGGGGGGTCCGAGGACAAGCGGCAGGAGTCAGTTCTCTCTTTCTACCGTGCGAGTCCTGGGGATCAAACTTAGCAGATGCTTTTATCCACTGAATCATCTCTTTTTTAAATGCATGTAGGCAGCCAAAGTGAAGCAAAGGAAATGTGCATCCCTTGCTCCCTCAAGTCCTTAGGCATACCAGGTTTTCTTCCAAGTTGCTACGTTCCTGAGAAGGGCATTAGTTGGCCCCATGGAGAGGGAATCACCTTGGACAAATTTTCATCACTTCTTTTTTTTTTCTTCATCACATCATTTCTTAATGCTAGGAACCTTCAAACTTCTTTTAGTTCTTTATGAAGTATATAATGGGGGGCTGGGGAGATGGCTTGGAGATGGTTCAGTGAGTAAGGATTGCTCTGTAAAAATGAGGACCTGAGTTTGATCGCTGAGCACCCACATAAAAAACTAGGCAGAGCTGAGTGTGCCTGTAACCCCAGCATCGGGGGTGGAGACAGGCAGATCCCGAGAGCCAGCTGACCAGCCAGTCTAGCTGAAATGGCCAGCTGTGGGTTCAGTGGGAGACCCTGTGTCAAGGCAGTAAGGTGGAGAGAAAAAAAAGAAAGTAACAATACACCCGTTTATAATAAGTTGCTGTACGTTATAATCACCCACCTGTGCAGTAGTACTTACTCCTCTGATGTAACTGTATTTGGTACTGCCTATTCTGCCTCTGTCTGTGGCCCTCCATTTCCCAGGCTCTACTGACCACTATTTTCTTTTATAAATTGTCTTTTTATTTTTTATGTATGAATGAGAGCTCTTTGTATTCTTTTATGGTGCCTCCCCCAAATTTTTCAAATGTAACTTTTCTTAATATACTTATAATCTCAGTTAGGAGCATATATTAAATTATTTAGTATTCACTTCCTCATGTTAATCTAAGTTATTGCCATTTGTGTATGGGTATGTGTGTGGAATGTGTATGGTTATGTACACCTGTGTATAACGTGGAGGATGTTGTGTGTCCTGCTTGCTCTGTCTCTCCACTATATTTGAGACAGGGCCTCCCATTGGACCTGGAATCAGGCTGCTGCCTCCACCTGCCACACCTGCTGGGGTTGCAGGCATTCCAGCAGTCATGCCAGGTTTTGTTTTGAGGTTTTTTTTGGGACAGGGTCTTACTGTATATCTCTGGTTGAACTGGATGGCCTTAAACTCACAGGGATCCACCTGCCTTTGCCTCCAGAGTGCTGGATTAAAGACATGTGCCAATATGTCTGGCAATAATGCTATTTTTTGGGGGGCGTCTTTTTTTGAGACAGGGTCTCCCTGTAGCCCCAGAAGACATGGAACCCACTACATAGACCAGGCTGGTCTTGATCTCATAGAGACCCACCTTGCTTTACCCTTGGAGTGCTGGTGGGATTAAAGGTGTTTGCTACCACACCCAGTTCGATAATGCTATTTACGGGGGGGCATCTTTTTGAGACAGGGTCTCCCTGTATGTCCAGTTGGCCTGGAACTCACTATGTAGACCAGGCTGGCCTTGAACACACATAGACTCGCCTGCCTCTGCCTCCCAAGTACAAGGATTAAAGGCCATCATGCCCAGCTTTTTTTTTAATTTTTAAAATTTATTTTTATTTTACTTTTCTGTTGCTGTGATAGAAACACTGACCAAAGCAACTTATAGAAGGAAGAGTTTATTTGAGCTTACAGTTCCAGGGGAATTACAGTCCATCATGGTGGGGAGGCATGGTGTCAGGAGGTAGCTGGAACAGGAGCAATGGAAGCTAAACTCTAGGTCTTCAAGCAGACACAGGAAGCAAGAGAGCAACTCGAGATCCTGCAATGCTTATGCTTTCTCTAAGCCCGCCCCCATGACGTGCTTCCTCCAGCATAGCCACACCCTCTAAGACCTCCCAAAACAGCTCTACTGACTGGGGACAAAAATGTCCAAATATTTGGAGCCTATTCTCATTCAAACCATCAAAATGTGTAATAGAATTTTGCCCGCATGTGCGTGTGCATGCAAAATCCATGGAGGCCAGAGAGGGCATTGGGTCCCCTAGAACTGGAGTTACAGACAGTTGTTTGCCACCAGGTGTGCTGAGAATTGAATCTGGGCCCACTTAACTGCTGAGTCATCTCTCCAACCCCTATACTAAGTTTTTATGCTTTGCTTTTTAAAAATATTTATTATTTTTGCCAGATATGGTGGTGCAAGACTTTAATCCTAGGACTCGGGAGGCAGAGGCAGGCAGATCTCTGTGAGATTGAGGCCAGCCTGGTCTACATAGTGAGTTCCAGGCCAGCTGAGGCTACAGGGAGACCTGGTCTTAAAAAGACATATATATATAAAATTTTTATTTTATGTGTATGAGTGTATTGCCTGCATGTATATAAGTGTACCTGTGTCATACAATGCCTGTAGAGGTCAGAAAAGGGCGTGAGATACCCTGCAACTGGAGTTACAGATGGCTGTTAACCTCCATGTGGGTGCTGGGAATCGAACTTGGGTTCTCTCCAAGAGCAGCCAGTGCTCTTTAACCACTGAGCTATCTCTCCAGCCCCCTATGCTAGGTTTTTAAAATGTGGATGTTGGGATCCAAACTCCAGTTCTCATGCTTGTGTAGCAAGTGCTCCTGGCCATTGAACCATTTCTCCAGCTGCAGTTATCACCATTTTTAGTAGCAGCAAAATAATCCTTTTAAATTGATTATAATCTACTTAACAATTTAAGTTGGGATGTTTAAATTGTTTACAATCTTTTCCTGCTCTAGATGAAAAGGTTCACTGAAACATTATGAATATAAGTTTTTCCCCCTCTTTTGGATTATTCCAGTTCAATTCCAGGCCCAATTATGTAGCTTTTAACATACATGAATTCTAGAAGTAGCCTGACAGCTCATCATAGATTAATATGTACTGACCAATACATGTCAAGAGAGAGGTAGAATAGGTTTAGAATTATGAATTTGGGGTCATTTCATCCTTGGGTCTCTTCTCCTTTATTATTATTATTATTTGTGTGTGTGTGTGTGTGTGTGTGTGTGTGTGTGTGTGTGTGCACATGCTGTGGTGTACATATGGAGGTCAGAGGACAACTTTGTGGAGTCAGTTCTCTCCTTCCACCTTTCCATAGGTTCTAGGGAGTGAATTCAGGTTGTCAGGCTTGTGTGATAAGTGCTTTACCTGCTGAGTCATCTTGCCTGCCTCACTTAGGTCTTTTATGTAGGAAGCTTCAGCTTGGGTCACTTCCAACACCCTTTCACGGGTTAGTGAAATACAGCTAACTGAAGATTTTTAGAAACTGGAATGATTCCCTGTGCTTTCCTACATGATTTTAACTTTTAAAGTATGAAATTCAGTTACACTCAATATAATTTTTGAGCTTTATTATGTGCCTGGATCTTTGTCAGGGACAGTTAATACAAAAAGACTAGGCCTTATCTTCAAGTGTCAGCAACATCAGATGTGAAAAATATTCCATAGAAGCAGACAGAGATTAGAAAGAGTGTATTCAGGGAAAATTTTAAAAAAAGGAACAGCAACAAAACCCAGATTTCTTACAGCCGAGTTCATGAAGGTTGCTCCAAGCAAAGACACAGAGGACACGACACACTGGAAACGGCTAGGATTTAGCCTTCGTGGATGTAAAATGCAAAGAAAAGAGGCACAACAGCACGTGGTTGACAAAATAGAAAAGAGGTCATATCGGAGAGGCTAGCCCCCGTGCGGGGCTTAGATTTAATCTTCCAGGTCAATGGTTCCAAAGACCGGTGTGAAAGATTTTAGGTGGCAAAAGGACAAAGATACATGTATCTCTGAATATTATAATTAGACTTTATATTACATATATTCATATAACACAGGACATGAGTAGCATATCACACATCTCACAAATGTTATTACTTAGGGTGAAGCTACTTAAAAGGCAATTATGCAAAGAATCATGAAGGTGGTACTTGAATGCTGAAATGCTTTTCCCATTATGAGGCGCTTTCAGCAAGGAAGTAACAATGTAGGCTTTTAGAAAGCTTCATCAAGTGCAAAGGATGTGTTAAAATGGCGAGATGAAATGGTAGGGTAATCAAAGGCTGTACAAAGGTCCAGATCAGATATGGTCCAAACCTGAGCTGGGTAGAGAGGGGATGAGAAGAAAAGTTTTAAGAGCTACTGAATACTAGAATCCAGGGAAACTGGGAGTTACTAATAGCGGAGGAGAAAGCCGAAGTCTTAGATGATTCCAGAATTGTGGTTTGATGACATGGTTTCTGTTACTGTGTATGTGTGGATCACAGAGAGCACAGTGGAACTTCTAACTTTAGTCTGGGGCATGTTGAATTACCTTAGATGGAGAACACAATGTTGTCAAAAATAAAAACAATTTATGTTTCAGTTCAAAGAGGTGAGAATAGATACTTGAAGTAAATGCACTTGTAAATTCATAGCATAGACTATGAGTGAAGGAAAAAAGTTAGGGATAATCATTACTTTTTGTTCTCAATAGAGAAAAAGTCATGCTTGATCTTTATACATTTATGAAAGTTGCACTTCTAAGAAAAGTTACATCTTTTTGTGTGTCTCCTTTTAAGATAATTTATCAAACAGAAAGCAGCATGACTTATAAAGCTGTAAATACTTCAATATTCTTCACAGACAGGTACCAACACATAGAGAAATTAATTTGTCATAAGATTAGAACAGGACATTTTCTTTTCAGTGGGCAAGGTGGTACATGATTAATAAGCGATCTTCACTCATAATTCTTTAAAAATTTGGGGAGGGGGGGTTTGGGGATTGAACCCAAGGCTTTAAGCATGCTAGACAAGCCCTCTTCCACTGAGCTGCACTCTAATAGGCACTTATTGTTTACCAGGAAGCTCCAACAGTTTGAGACATGCCATAGTCACCTAATAATAAAAGTTCTCTTTCTGCTGTTCCCTTAATAATTAATTACAGCACATAGCAGACATTTTCACTTGGCAAATTGATCCTATTCTCCCAAATTGACTATAAGCCTCTTAGGAGGAAAGATTTTTTTTTTTCTTAACTGAGTAACTGCCAGCTGTGGCAACGAGTTTATCCATGGTCAATTATGCCTGGGATACTGCTGGAGCTCAACAAGCATTGACTACATCAATAGAGTTAAGGGCAGATACTTACATTCTAAGTACTGCATTAAGCTTTCCTTTCATTATCTCCTTTAAAGGTGATGAAACTGGGTTGCACAGGACATCAACCTGATTATCTGACAATCAGAAACCTGCTACCTCTTTCCAAGTTGGCTTTCTCAGAAATAAGCCAGAAACTATAAGGACTAGAACACTGGAATGTAAGTGCTCTTCTCCCGGGACCTGGAATGGCTGAGCAGACTGCCTGGGTTCAAAAGCCAGCTCTCCCACGTATTTTCTGGGTGATTTTGCTTAATCTTTATTCTATCAGAAGAGGTCCTTTCCCTGCTGGCAGGAGCTTTCTGCACACCATTTCCACAGGTCTGGAGTATTCCTGAGCCCTGTGACCACTGCTACCGTCTGGAGCACCGGGTACTGTGCTAAGGTCAAAGGCCCGTTTCCCACCAGGTCCTCGGCCGGCGGGTGCTGGCGGCCGCCGGAACTCACCCACGCTGCTCCGGGATTAGCAGGCCGAGCCCCGCAAGTGCGCAGGCGCGCGGCGCAGCTCCTCAGCATGACTCTGGGCCGGCGACAAGACGTAGATTAAGACCTGACATCCGGAAAGGCGGCAGCTTTCCAGAGACCCAGCTCCGCGCGCTCTTAACTGTGGAGGCGGGTGAAGGGCGGAGCCTAGAGGGCGGGCGGGCCAGGAGCCCTCGGCCAGTGCTGGCGTACCCCATGAACCTGGGCGGACTAATCCCTTCGCCCTCTCCTTTGGTTCCGGGAGACTTTGTGTCCAGGTCCGGTCCATGGTGATCGTTCCCTCAGGTCTTGCACCGGCGCTGCGAGGGAAGGATTAGCTCTCTTCGCACGCATCTTTGCTTACAGAGTCAGTGTTCCTTGTCATCTACCAGCTAGTTTTCCATCCCGCGGAAGGTTTAAGTCCCGCTGGAAGAGAAGAGCACAGACAAGGACTGGATAACACGGGGAGCAGGTTGACAGTGTTGATTTGTGGTGTCTGCAGGGCGCTTGCACAGTTGAAATATTGAGTTCCCTGTTCCCTCTCAACCCCCACCCTCCCACCAACACGTGCTTGCGAGTTCAGTAATGAGGCTCCTGCATGTCCAAGGCACACGAAAAGTTGCTAAATCAGACTTTTTCAGGTAGTGTAAGGACATTTGAAGGATGTGTAGATTGAAGAATGTGTAGATTGACGACCTTATAAAGTTTATCCTTAGCTTTACTGTCAGACCTGAGGTGTAGACTAGCCCTCTACTATTTAATAACATGTTGTACACTCTTCATTTGCTCCTGTGTGTGTGTGTGCGCCTCTGTACGGAAAAGGATGTATACCAACTTTTACTCTTGCAAGAACCTTCTCTCAAAGAAAGTGCTCCTAGGCCAGTGGTCCAATGGAGTTAGCTTGAACTGTCTCATAGGAGCCTGTTGGTTTTAAGAACATTTGTTCATTCATTCATTCATTCATTCACTCATTCTCTGCTGGAGATCAAGCCCAAGGCCTTGGGTATGCTAGGCAAGTAAATACTGGATTACTGGGCTATAGCTCTTAGTTATTTGAGACACAGCCTCTCTGTGTTGCCTAGGCTGGTCTTGAACTAGTTTTCCTCCTGCCTTAGCCTTGCAAGTGATGGGATTACAGAAACACACCAACAAACCTGGTTTAGCTAAGAGCAAGTACTGCTTTTGCAGAGGATCTCAGTTACAATTACTCATATTTGGGTCTTCAATTTTGTTCCATTGGTCTATGGGTCTATTTTTATGCCAGTACCATATTGTTT